AGTGTGAACATGTTAACACATTACGCTGGCCCTGCAGTCCATCATACTACATAGTTATGATGTTATTCAGGAGTCTGACAGCCCACAGATAAAAACTGTTCTTCAGCCTGTTTGTGCGGCTGGCTATACTTCTATATCTCCTTCCCAATGGTAGGAGGGTAAAGAAGTGATGACCAGGGTGAGAATCGTCCCTGAGAATTTTCCTCACTCTTCTAAGGTAGCGAGCCCAAGCAATCTCATCTAGTGGTATCAGGGGAAAGCCCACGATGTTTTGTGCTGTGCTCATCACTCTCTTTACTGTTTTTCTATCTGTGGCTGTCAGGCCGGCGTGCCATACCGTGATGCAATAAGTGAGGATGCTTTCTATTGTGGACCGGTAAAAGGAGGTCATCAGTTGTTGTTCCACCCTCTTTTTACGCAAGACCCTAAGGAACTGGAGTCTCTGTTGGGCCTTCCTGGCCACCTGGATCATGTTGTTTTTCCAGGTGAGGTCTTCGCTGAGATGGACTCCCAGGAATTTAAAGGAGGAGACTCTCTCTACACAGCCCCCCTCAATGTAAAGTGGGGCAGGTTCCTCTCTCTTCCAGAAGTCCAACACCATCTCCTTGGTCTTGCTGATATTCAGGTGCAGGTTGTTTTTTAAGCACCATGTGGAAAGTTTTTGAACCTCCCCCCTGTACGCTGTTTTGTCTCCACCTGTAATAAGACCCAGTATAGTGGTGTCATCTGCGAACTTAATGATCACAGTAGATGGGTTTGATGGTACACAATCATTGTGAACTTTTGTTCCCAAATTCTCTATGGCACCTGATTAGCGTAGTTTTGTTGCAGGGAATAGAAATACTCCAAACCTTACTATCCTGTTTGCATTTTAAGAAAGTTGCTTTAAGCCTTTATATACATGAACAATAAAATAAAGAGGAAAAACAAGATAAATTTAGGGCAACTATGAAAACAGAGTTTCCATTGTATTATTAATCAACAATAATAGAAATCTGACAATCATTTTTCTGCATTTAGAAATAAGAGAGTTCCTCATAGACAGATAAATAGTTGAAATATCTCCACCTTTATCAAATGTTTACTATTAACATCAGCCATATACAACCTAGCCAATAGCTATTCAGATGAAGAAGTTGCAGCATAATAACAGGGACCTAAACCATAGATTTAATCATAATCTGTTGAATAAGCCATAGTGGCCTGTTTCACACAGAGTACTAAGTTATGGCATGTTTTGCAGCATCAGGTCTTAAGTATTTAATTTCTGGTGTTGGGTAAAGGTTCTTTATGTAGAACCTATATGTAGAATCCTTGGTACTCCCTGACAATGGTTTTCTTGCAGATATTTCATTAACCAAACTAGGTAACATCATCAGTGCTAGTAGGGACTGGGGTTTGCTGTCATTTTATGAGTGGTGGTTACTTGATTGGGCTGTTGTTTGCTGTTTGCAGCTTTTTTGACAGTTCCTTGATTAGGGTATTGTTGGCTTCTTAGTTGTTGGTCTAGTATTAATTTTGGTGTTAATCTCTGCTCATCTATATGCAGCAATTATTTTGCCATTGTTGACATACTTGTATGCTGTTCTTCTCCATGCCACAATGAGACAAAGATATAAATGCTTACTGCTTGTCCTCTTGTGAATTTGAGAAGCTTGGTGTTGTGCGTGTGAGAGAGAGAGGGATGGATGGATAGATGGATGGATTATGGGCAGATCCTGAGACAGGTCTCGGTTGTCATGCACAAGTATGTGCACATCATGCACATGTATTTATTTTGCATTCTATGCTAAACACAACACACTTGTTTTTCAACTCCTTATTGTAAATTTGTGAGCTTTCATAAGTGCACTTACATTAGTTTGCTCACAAAATGCTTCTTCCTTATTGCACTTTCTTTTATTTGTTAAGCCACCTCCCAGGGGAAGGCAGTGACGAACAAGTTCTGTATTGTTATCAAGAAAACTATAAGGATATATTAATTATATCACCAAAAGATGAACTGGACTTTACTTTTAAGGGTGGTTCAGAGAGTAAATGGCATAAATTATAGTCCAGTGCTCTGAGAAGCTGATAAGTCCCCTTTCCATTTAAACTGCTAGATTTAGCAGTTTAGAAATCATTTGACAGTAACTACCTTGGAACAAATATACACAATTACCAATGATCTTATTATCAACATAACAAATCTAGTGTGTTGCTGCTGTAGACCGGGGGTCCTCAAACTTTTTAAACAGGGGGCCAATTCATGATCCCTCAGACTGTTAGGGGGCCGGATCGGCTGGGTTGGCGTGGCTAGGTGGTAATGTGACTAGGTGGGCGTGGCTAGGTCATGTGACTAGGTGGGCGATGCCAATTTAACAGTCCATTGAACAATGCACCCAAATTAAACTTCAATTTGTTTTGCTCCTGGGGGTTTTGCAGCAATTCTTCTCAGCCCCAAGGAGCTTGAGAAATCTCTCTCTGTCTCTATCTATCTCTTTGTCTCTCTTTCTCTCTCTCTCTCTTTCCGTTTCTCTCTCTCTCTCCCTCTCTTTCTCTTTTTCTCTCTCTCTTTCTCTCTGTCTGTCTGTCTCTCTCTCTTTGTCTCACTCCCTCTCTTTCTCTCCCTCTTTCTGTCTCTCTCCCCCTCTCTCTTTCTTTATCTCTCCTTCTCTCTTTCTTTCTTTCTCTCTTTCTCTCTCTTTCCTTCTCTCCCTCTCTGCTCTCTCTTTCTCTCTTTTGCTTTCTTTCTCTCTTTCTCTCTCTTTCTCACTCTTCCCCCCCCCCTCTCTGTCTCTCTCTATCTATCTTCTGGAGGCAGGGAAGGTGAAAAACGGGCCGTTTTTGCCTGTTTTTTGGCCTCCTTCCCCCCCACCCCCTTTCAGAAGCATTCTGCAGGCTAAAATTGTTGAGTTTACCTTTCGGCTCCAGCCTGCAGGGCTCCTGAAGGCAAGTCCTGCGCTCTGCTGAAGGATGTGGGAGGGGAACCTCGTGGTGCTCCACGGTCCGGATTAATTGCTTCAGCGGGCTGCATGTGGCCGTAGTTTGAGGACCCATGCTGTAGACTGTCTTAATGGTTCCTTATGAGCATAGGCACACAACACTGTGGAGGAAACTTCTCATTTGTGCTTTGTTTTCACATAAAGTAAGCTACACTTGGCTATTGTGTTTTCTTTATGGAACACTCAGTCCAGAAAATACTGGAAAAACATGCTTTTTCCTACAGCTGAAGATGGAAATGTCCATCCTCCCATGCTTAGAGAATATAAATCTTGAAAGATACAGTGCCTCTGAAAATGTCTGTGCTTTGACAACATATCAAACAGGGCTGTGCATCCCTTAGTTGGGTGACATATGCTTATTCATTCTTTTTCATTTCCCTCAGAGCTTTTTTTGAGCAGTGTTGAAAATTGCTTCATGTTGTTGAATTTAAAATAACACTTTTAGCGTTTGTCACAGAGTTTTCCTGAGTTTATTTTGCAATATTTGTATTTCAACACTACACCGAATTTAATAGTTACTTAAAAAGTATCTGGAGAGCATCTAGTAGTTTGTAAGCATTCCTCTTCTACAGCCATTTCTGCTGTAAACTCCAATGAAAATGGCTGCTTCGTTATTGAACAATTCTTGCTATTAGGGAACTTTTCTTTATATTTTGACAAAGCCTGCTTCCTTGCATTTCCTTTTCAGTTCTCCTCACCAAAATAAAGAAAATAACCATTTTATTATTATCATAGGGAAAGTTATAGCTATGCACTCAATAATAAACATCCCTTTAAGACATAGTTGCATTCATAGACAGACAAATATGCACACATGTAAGTGAAGTGTTCAGAAATTAAATACAGAGAAAGTGTATACTAGTGCATATGGACCAGTCTAACATAAAGCTGGGTATAAGATAATGGAATTGCATATGTTTGAAAACTACCCAGGTTCCAGTTTCTACAAAATAGACTGAATTGGTAGCATAGCCAAACAGCTACTATAAAGTCTGGATGGAGAGGATGTTCTGTTCTCCCCTGAACTGCTAGAACTTGAGTCTTCCCATAAATTGTTTTATAAATTGATAAAGTGAAGTACTTCATAGAACATATTGTGAACACATATTTTCAGTTATCATAAGATGTGATGATCTTTGACATTAAATGTTTTTCAGTTGTTGCAAGTATGAGTCCAAAGTATGCAGATTGAGAATGGAATTGAGAAAAATGTAATTATACAGTAGCATTGCCTGCCCCTGCTAAATGGGCCTTTAATGTCTATGTTTAGAAATCTTTCTAAACGTCTATGAAATTATTGGGAAGGGCATATTTGGTGCAGCCATAGCGTTGAAAAAAAGGAAAAGTCCTGCTTGAATCATGATGATAACCTACATGAATACATAATATGAATGTGTAGAGGGACTGTTTGCACCTCACTGAATGTGCTACCATGAGTCCATTTTCTGCTATGTGGCTTTATGTTAATGTGCTAGAAATATACGGAAATGTTTTTGTGTGATCAGGCTAGTAAATTATTAGAATACCAAATCAAAAATCATGATTTCACATTGGTAAATGAATATTGTTGTTGTTAGGCTTCAGTGGAGTGAAGTGGTGTTGATTCCATTCTTGTTGTTGTATACTCAAAAGAGCCCCATGATTGAAAATGACCTGTGCTCACATTATGAGCTTCAAGTTGATTATGAATAGCAGGGAAGGTATCTCCCTACCCATGAACTTCCTTTTGTAGATCTGATGTTGCACAACAATTGTTATATCCCTAAACATGTGGTGAGGACAAGGGCATGATGAAATTGAAGCTATTTCATGACAATTAATGATAAGATGGAACTGAAAAATCTCCCAAATTGAAGATCTGGTATTGAGGACTCTTTGAATAAAGAGTGATTAATGCTGGTTCTGTTATTTCCCCCCCCCCCATTGCTTTGTTACTGATCATCGGGTGGGACCAATGTCAAGTATGACTTAGGGTTTTTATTAAATTCTTCCTTTGCTTCTTTCCCTTTCTTACAGCCCTTCACAGAACTCCTTGATGACTTTTCCCAAGATGTTTTGGGGCAGCTGTTGAACGATCCCTTCCTGTCTGAGAAAAATGAGATGATGGAAGTGGAGTTATCGCCAGTTTCCCCAGCTCCCCTCATCCAGGCAGAGCATAGCTATTCCCTTTGTGGGGACTCTCGGCCCCAGTCGCCATTGACCCATATTTCAGCTGATGACAATTTCAATGAAGGTAAAAGAGTGTAATGAATTTTGCTAACCAGCTTCTGGAAATAAGACTCCCACTATTGGTTGCCTTGAGGTGTAACCTGTCTAGAATTTTGAAGTAGGCAATGGGGTGTGAATATCTTAGAATTTCAGACATTTCCAAAGGGTGCTGTTGTCAGAGGAAAAAAATTAACCCCACAAATTGGTTACTGGCTAACAATATTCTGAGCAACTGGCAGCCTCTGTGGAGACCTAAAGTGGGAACAGTAGGTTTGAATATTTTGAAAAACTGAAGCTGTATTCAATTTATATAATTGTAAATAAACTCAAATATTGCAAATTGACATTAGCCTCTGGTGATCATATCTGCAGAAAATGGGACCCCTGTTTATTTTAGAAACCTGCTTGATTCCAAAATGATTCTGCGCAGCAAAGAGAGATGGAAGATTTCTTTTATCTGACCATTGTTCTAGTTGTGGCCATATATGCCGCTAAAAATCACTTTGATATGCATTCATTTAATTGGATCTCCCTTAACACCCTGCCAACAAATGAATTCACACATTTCTAAAAGTAACTCTTATTATCCTTACCATTTTCAAGTGATAATTCATGACATGTTTTCTTTCTTGAATGAGTAAAAATATGTGAGTGATTTTTTTTTTTTAAAAAAGGAATTCATAATCTCAGCAAATGTAAAAGGTCTTAAGTGAAGACCTAAATGTAGAACGTGAATTAAATCATATCTTTTTATGAAACAAAATCTAAACTGAACCTTGAAGTATTAATGTTCCAGACAATCAACCTGCCTGGCTCCGTGTCAGCTACATCTCTTTATTGCTCTCACAAAGTTGTTTTCATAGGGAAGGGGCAGTACATATTCACAAAATGGCTGCCATCTTGAGGATGGCTTACCACTCCTATTACCTCAGGTGACCTGTGACATTTTTCTGGGCATTTGGACATACTTTGAATGAAGTATAGAGCTATCATTTTTATTTCTTAAAGAATGTTACTGAGTCTATGCAGAACTCCAAAGCATTCTTGTTATGCAAGACTGCTTTGCTTTCCAGCATGACAGCTTCCGTTTTATTTTATTTTTTTCAAAACTGAAAATCCCAAAAGAAATTGCAATCAGGTGGACCTGGGAGTTCACCAGGATGCTGTGTTTTTTTTTTCTTTTGAAAATAGACAATTATATCCAAGATCTTAGGGAACCCAAGACTTAGAGTTACTCATACCTCTGGTGAATCATTAATGATCTTTTTACTGTTTTAAGCGCTGATGCCTGCTTATCAAGCCTGCTGAGATAGAATTGGATAAGAGCTGGAATAATACAATACCTTTTTCCCCCCCTTCCGCCTTGATATAGTTTCAGTTTCTCCCACATATTAAGGTTTCCCTTTTAAAAGAAAATAGTCGTTGGAAAAGAATCTTAATTCATATTGCAGTAGAGTCTAATTATTTTGTCAGGGTTCTGGCCAATGCCCTAATAAAATTAAGAGTCTCAAGTCATTTAGCAAGAAAAATCCAGCTGTTTATTAGGAGTGCCATGTTGGCACGAGCTAGGTGAAACCAGCTTTAGCTTCACCCAATTCGCGCCTTGCCTCTGGCCTTGTTTCCTGTGTCACCAGTCACATTCCCCAATGAAGCAATTTCGCGGGTCGTAGAAGTCACTCCCTCCAGCTGTTGTGGTCTCTGTGGAGATGGCCTTACTTTGGCCAGCTAGGCTACATCTTGTTTTGACTGAGGTGTGAATTCCTTGGTGCAGCTGCAAGGCGCAATTCCCATCCCCTTGCCTATGGCAACTCGGGAGCAGGTCAGGAAAGCTTTGCGAGTTGACACGTTTTTTTGATAGCAAGTTTCTTGACACGTATAAGCAATCCAAGTCAAGCTTTAAGCCAGACTGAAATTTTGTCAAGGGAAAGTTGCCAAGATCGCTGTCACTGGATACTTGTTTTGCTTTTGCTTGCAAGTAGACACCCACTTCCTGACTCTTCCAAAGCAGAAGTATATTAATACAATTGCAGACTGGACGCCTTATCCTTGAGTCACATCTACAGTCCTCACATGTTTCTTATGATGGAGGACAGCCCTTTTACTTCAGAAAGCTACCCTTGAGATTTATTTAATTTATTTAAATAATTAAGCAAAATAACAAACATACGTTTATCCTTATGAACCTTTTTTCAGATTTGCCCCCTTTTCAGGATTGTCTATTATTTTTTCCCCCAAGAAAGTATGGTCTCTGAAGTCATATCCTACTTGTGGGAAAAAATCAGATAATGTTAATCATACACATGGCATTCACAAGTACTGTTACGTACATACAAATATGTACATGTACAGACAACACATATTTTTACAGGCAGTCCTCAACAGCTTTTCATTTAGAGATCCTTCAAAGTTAACAACGGCACTGAAAAAAAACAACTTACAACCATTTTTCACACTTACGACCATTGCATCATCCCCATGGTCGTATGATCAAAATTCAAGCACTTGGCAACTGACTCATATTTATGACGGTTACAGTGTCCCAGGATCATGTGATTCCCCTTTGGCAATCTTCTGACAAGCAAAGTCAATGGGAAACCAGATTCACATTACAACCGTGTTATTAACTTAACAGTTGCAGTGCCTCGCTTAACAAGTGTGACAAGAAAGGTCGTAAAATGGGGCAAATCTAACTTAACAACTGTCCTGCTATCCCAAAGGTGCTTTTTCAAGAGGCAACTGGACTTTCTGGTTTTTCTTTGAAGACGTATCACTTCTCATCCAAGAAGCTTCTTCAGCTGTGACTGGATGGTGGGGAATGGAAGGATTTATACTCCTTGCAGACAGCTCTGCAAGGAGTATAAATCCTTCCATCCCCCACCATCCACCATCCAGTCTGAAGAAGCTGGAGCTGAAGAAGCTTCTTGGATGAGAAGCGAAATGTCTTCAAAGAAAAAAACAAAGAAAGTCCAGTTGCTTCTTGAAAAAGCACTTTTGGGACAACCATGACCTAGGTGACTGAGAATCTCCATAAACTGTCCTGCTAACAGAAATTTTGGACTCAATTGTGGTCGTAAGTCAAGGACCATCTTTATATCACATTTTACAGTATTTCCCTGAATTAATCTTTTTAAGCGTCCTTGAGATATAATAAATGGAATCAGTCACATTCTTTTTATCATTTTGCTTTCTTTACAAAGACATAGGAAGAACAGTTCTAACTTAAAATAAAGGTTTCCTTATAATGAATTTGAGTGACAAACTAAAACAAAAGTTAAAGTGAATGGGTGTGACACCATCTTACCCTTATTCCCAACAGCTTTTTAACTAGAATCTGAAGCTTTTCTCAAGTTAAATATGTTACCCAGCTGTATTTCATTCCGGTTAGCATAAACTGGAATTTGAAACCAAGGAATTAGTCAGAAAGTAAATTACTGAGTATTGCATCATTCTGCGGTGATGTGTTTAAGAAAAGAATCCCCCCATTAAATATATTTTTGACAGACCCAGAAATCTGTATCATGGATATATTATATCAGCATTACTAGAATTCATTTAAGGTTATACCAGTTTCATGTTATTCTGTAAACTTTACTTTGCTAAGGTTTATTTGAATATTTGAAGGGAATCCCATCTTTCATATGAATTGCTTTTGTTGTAAAAAGCACTCCAGAGATTTTATTGAATTAGAAATAAAATTTGTCATACTCGCCATGCATGTTTTTTTCTCCTCAAGTGGAGATTGCCAATTTGTGAAATTTTAATTTGGCTCAATATATGTATTTATGTAACACCTTAAAGCTATCTTTCCTAGAATCCAATTAATATTTTTTTAAAAAAAGAAATAGTAAGTTGTGATACAATGCAAATAATAATTTGCTAAATGTTGGAAAATAAAACCGTCTTTGGCATCAGAATAATAAATACTGGCACCAGGCAGATATATCTTGGTTATCTCACTCTTTGCATTTGAAACCTATCGAGTCTATGATATTTTGTTGCATATATTTTAATCTTGTAATTGTTGGCACTTTAAAAAAATGCAGTAAAAGGTGATTCCTAAATTGTTATTTTATGTTTTTTGTTTATTTACTACAACTATTTTTTGTTGGTTTACTGTTCCTGATTCCTGAAGGCTCTGAATAATTTACATCTACTAGTAATAAAAGATTTAAAAAGTACAGCTAGTCCTTGATTTACAACCACAATTGAGCCTGGAATTTTTATTGTTAAGTGAGACATTTGTTAAGAGAGTTTTATCCTATTTTACGACATTTCTTGCCACAGTTGTTAAGTGAATCATTGATGTTGTTAAGTTAGTAACACAGTTGTTAAGGTTGTGTTACTAACTTAACTGCAGAGAAATGGGGTACAGCAGCAGATTTTTATAAGGGGACCTTGTCCGGGGTGTGGAAGTGTATTCATGCTGATTCTAGAGTGACACTTGAGGGGTGTGTGTGTGTGTGTGTATGTATAAGTGTATTCTTGTGAACATGCAGTTCAGTTGGGAGACCTAATTTAATTAACTCTTATGTTTGCAGACCTTATCCTTTGATATGTGGAGGGAGGGAGGGGGGGAGAGAGAGAGAGAGAGAGAGAGGGAGGGAGAGAGAGAGAGAGAGAGAGAGAGAGAGAGAGAGAGAGAGAGAGAGAGAGAAAGAAAGAAAGAAAGAAAGAAAGAAAGAAAGAAAGAAAGAAAGAAAGAAAGAGACCTTCTACATATGTTTGGAAACTCTTCACTAGGTCCTTTGAGAACCGGGATCTACTATGGAAAACAAATTCCTATCAGAGCTGGACTCTTACACAGTCTGAACCTTGGATCACTGAAACTGGTGACCGCCCTGCTAAACAAAAAGCTCTTCACAATTTTTCTTGCACATATAATCCTTTAGCTTCTCTCCTGCTTCTCCTCATTCCCACCCACCCACCCACCCCTTTTCCTTTCCATTTAATCATTCCACTCTGCACCGTCGGAAAAAGATTCTAGTGTTTGACCGTTGCACAGAAGCTTCTTTGTTGAGAGCAAAGCGTGCCTTTCAGTATCTGTGGAATTAGAGCAAAAGGAAGGAGATGAGGGAGCAGACAAACCCCTGACTCTGGGCAAACTCTGAAAGGAAACTATTTCATACATGAATACCAGTCTCTCACCTGGTAGGGTAAGAGAGTGAGCTAGTATTACAGAAGCACTAAAAGGGGGGATTATGTGTGCTTTGCTCTGAGTAACCTGTGAGTAGAATCTGCCTGTGGGTTGCATTTATGAGGTAAATATCTATGAGGGATAATTTCTGTTTCTAATGCCAGACGTTTACAGAATAAGAAGCCTTAGAAATTCTAAGAAACGTCTCGGTTTTGAGATAAGTTGTGTATATTTTTAATTGGTCAAGAATCTCTTACGCATAAACCCTGTGAATCCTGTTTCCCCCCCCTTAATGCAGGTTTTTTTTCCCCATGTTGATCCTTCTTGGCACAGCTTAGATTGCTGTTTTGAAGTGTCTGATTACAGGATGTACTATACATATTTATCTTTGCTTGTAATTTTTCTTGGCTCGGCCAATGTAATTCAAATTATATCTTCCCTTGCCAATGGGAGACGTTTTAAAATTACACCCATGGGGTAATTACTAGCATCAAATGTACAAAGTCCCCCTGTCACCTTCCTGTTGCTGAACTGAAGGCTGCAGAAATAGAAGGCTGCAGGAGGTTTTTCCTCTCAAACTTAGTTTTTCCCCCCTCTCCTGTTGTGGACAGATCTCTTGGTAATTGCATTCTGCAGCAATAAATATCTCCTCTCTTTAAGAAAGGTGACTCAATCCATCAGCTCTGTATCATTTTACCAGAGAGACGTTGTTGAAGAGGATAAGCAGCAAGCAATCATGACATGGGTCTGAAATAATACACACAGAGAAAGTCATAGAGGCCTAAGAATCCTCTGGCTCTTGTCCTTAATACAGATAATCCTTGATTTACATTTGGGGCCAGCATTTCTGATCTGCTAGGCAAGGAGGTTATTAAATGAGTACCGCCCAATTTTATGACTTTGTTTGCTACCGTTAAGCAAATTACTGCAGTTGATAAGTGAATCATGAGGTTGTTAAGTGAATCTTAACAACTTAAAGGAGCCTTGGTGGCGCAGTGGTTAGAGTGCAGTACTGCAGGCTACTTCTGCTGACTGCCAGCTGCCTGCAATTTGGCAGTTCAAATCTCACCAGGCTCAAGGTTGACTCAGCCTTCCATCCTTCCGAGATGGGTAAAATGAGGACCCAGATGGTTGGGGGCAATAGGCTGACTCTGTAAACCACTTAGAGAGGGCTGTAAAGCACTGTAAAGTGCTATTGCTATTGCTAAGTGAATCTGGCTTCCTCCATTGACTTTGCTGGGAAGGTTGCAAATGGCGATTACATGGCACTGCCACTGTTGTAAACACATACCATATGTATATCGGAAACTATACAATTGAGCGGGTCCAGAGGTATTTCATGAAAAGAGTACTCCACTCTTCTGCTCACAATAGAATCCCTTATGCCACCTGGCTTGAAATTTTAGGCTTGGACAATCTGGAATTATGCCGCCTATGGTCTGACCTAAGCATAGTACACAAAATTGTCCGCTACAACGTCCTACCTGTCAACGACTACTTCAGCTTCAACCTCAATAATGGGCAAACAATAAATACAAACTCAAGGTAAACCGCTCCAAACTCGATTGCAGAAAATACAACTTCAGCAACAGAGTGGTCAGTGCCTGGAAAGCTCTACCTGACTCCGTTGTTACATCCTCTAACCCCCTCTAACAGCTTCAACCTTAAACTGTCTACCATGGACCTCACCCCATTCCTAAGAGGTCCATAAAGGGGGCGTGCATAAGCGCACCAGCGTGCCTACAGTCCCTCTCCTACTGGCCCCATTTATTTGTACTCATTTCCTATGTTCATGTCCATGTTTATACTTATACCTGTTATCTTGTACATGTTTTGACAAATAAATAAAATAAAATAAAATAAATACCGGTTGCCAAACGCCCTAATTTTGATCATGTGACCCTGGGGATGCTGTGATGGTCATAAGTGCGAGGACCCATGGTTTTTTTCCTCAATGCCATTGTAACTTCACATGGCGACTAAATGAATGACTGTCAGTCAAGAACTACCTGTAATACAAAGGAGTTTTTAATTTTTGAATGGATGCAGTATAACTTGCTGGTGATTTGAAATATACAAGCATCTATAGGTAGCTGTTGCTGGAAATGTCTTAAGGAGCACTGTAATTAGAATTTTAAAAGTCTTCAAGGAGACAACAATTTGGTTCAGTTTCCTTTGCACTTCTCTACTAGTAGTCTTATGGTGCTGATTTTGCCTCTTTTAGGAGCCTCTGTTTTATTCTTTTCCTAGCTGTCGAACAGGTAGTCTTTGCCTTTAAAGCGTTTGTTTAGTGACTGTTCAAAGTTACAACAGGACTGAAAAAAGTGACTTACAACCGTTTTTCACACTTAAAACCATAACAGCATCTCCACAGTCATGTGATCAAAATTCAGATGCTTGGCAACTGACTCATACTTATGCAAAGTCTTGGGGGGCTGTATCATGTGATCACCTTTGGCAACCTTCTGACAAGCAAAATCAACGGGGAAGTCGATTCACTTAGCAACCATATTACGAACTTAACAATTGCTGTGATTCACTTAACAACTGGCAAGAAAGGTTGTAAAATGGGCCAAAACTCATTCAACAACTGTCTCACTTAGCAACAAAAATTTTGGGCTCATTTGTGGTTATAGATCGAGGACTACCTGTACCCTTTTAAAAATAAAATCAGCTGCAGAAAACAAGGTGATGATGCAGTGATGTATTTTCAGAGGACAAAGTGGAATGTTTGGCCCTTCTGTTCTCTTTAAAAAAAAATAAAAAATAAAAAATGGTTTCTTTCTAAATTAAGAAAAAAATGGCTAAGGGTAGGTCTCTTTTTTTAAAAAAATGCTAAGAGAAAGTCTCTTTTTAAGAAAGTAAAAAATGTGCTACGCCTATTGAAGATTTAACATACCTATTCTACTTATTTTTGTTCAGAGAAAACCAATATTAAGATATCACTGTCATTATCAATCAATTAACTGCTGAAAATTCAGAAGTTGATCTTGGGGTCTAAGGAATGACCCCAAAGAGGGCGCAGCCACTGGTCACCAACATGTGCTTTAAACCAGGGGTGAAATGCTACTGGTTCACACCTGTTCAGACGAACCGGTAGTGGCAGCGGCGCATGGTTCGGAGAACTAGTAGCGGTGGCAGCACGAGGCTCCACCCACCAACCTGGATGTCGTTACTTCCTGGTTTTAACCAGGAAGTAACCTTTTTTTGACCCTCTGCACATGTGCAGAAGGATTTGCGCATGCGCAGAGGATCCAAAATTGCGCACTGAGCACGCACTTCTGAACTGGTAGGGAAGGTAAGTGGATTTCACCCCTGTTTTACACCCCCAAATTAGCTTTTCCTGGCCTAATTAGTCCACAGACAGCTGGCTGGGAAATTCAGGTTTTCGAGTCTCAGTGTTTTTGAAAGATGGGGGCTGGGGAAGGAGTCTGCCAATGGCTTGTGACTTTGTCAAGAATGACCTTATTTCCCTTGAACTTGTTTGATATAGCTTCAGCTTTAGACTCACTACCATAAAAAATGTTGGGAAGGAAAATTATGAAAAAAAATGTTTTTGTTTGTGCCAGCCAGATTGTAGAAGATCTTTTCTTATTTATTTAGCAAATTTTATTTATGTACTTATTTAGCAAATTAGTATATTTCAGCAAATGTACTGTATATATTTTAAAAGGGCCTTTACAAAATCTTGATTTCTATTACATACTCTGCAGCTGTTTCTAAACTTCTATTTATTCTTGTTTTGGTCCCGTGCCCCCCCATCACCACTTAAGGCCACATTGCTTTATTTGCCAATTATTTTGTTTTTCACTATCTCTCTTTTTAAAATAAAAATAAAGATAGTTTATAAATCAACCAAGGCTTTCACAGTTCCATGTATTTTATTCCCCACTGTCTTCTCCTATCACACTAAGCTCTGAGGAAGAGACTAGAATTTTAAGACAACAGAACAATCTTTCATTTTAAAATATTTCAAAACTCAGGAGCTCAAGGGAAGCTGAACAGCCCCGGTGGCAGAGATAGGGAACTAGCAACGGTTTGGTTGGCTTTAACACAGACCTCCGGCTGCTTGTCTGATGGCTTGTTTAGTCTTGTTGGAGGTTTTTTCTTAGCAATTTTCAGTAATAACCTTATTTTGTGTTCTCAGCCAATTCAACTTCACCCCAGAGCTGTGTAGAGGCTGCAGTTTAAAGCCCCAGGTTCCTCTCTGAAGTAAAAGCCCGAAAGAGGAGATAAAAAGCATTGCTTAATGAATTAAATGCTTTCTCGGTCACGTTTCCTCTCCTCTCCTCAGCTTGGAATTGCATTCTCTGGTTTTCTCTCCCCTCCCCACCCCCTTCGATTTCTGTGGAAATCTGTCCATTTCTGGCTCTTAATGTGTGCTTTGTTTTCATTTCTCCCTCCCCCAGCTGACTTGGAAAATGAAGACTGGTGCCTGGGATCAGAGCTGACGTCAGCCAACATAAAGACAGAACCAGCAGTGACTGAAGCATCCGGCCTTGCTCCATCAGGCAGTCTTACTGCTTCGCCCAACCCCACCATCCTGGAAGGGGAAGAGCCACCGATGCAGGATGACAGCCCAGTATGGTTTCTTACTCAAAGTCTTGATTAGCAAATGCATAATGTCCCTAGACCAGGGGTGTCAAACTGGGGCTGGATCAGCATTGTAGTTCTCTGTTGGCCAGCCAGGGGGTGGGGGGAGGAGGGGAGAGAGAGGATGGAAACTTCATGCAGCACCCTGCTGGCCAAAATAGGGTGCGGGGGGGGGGCTGCATGAGGGCCCCCTGCGCTCCATTTTTGGCCTGGCCGGCCTCCTGCGCACCACTTTGTTGGCCAAAATGGGGCGCGGGAGGCTGCGCAAGGCTCCTCTGCGCCCCATTTTTGGCCTGGATGGCCTCCTGCAGCACTTTGCCGGCCAAAATAGGGCACGGGGTGCCCATTTTGGCTGCCAGAAGCACTGCGGGCCAATCCTTTGCTATTTCCAGGCCGGCCCCTCAGGCCAGATTTAAGCACCTTGAGTTTGACACCCCTGCCCTAGACAATGAGAAACATTGTCTATCTATCAAATTAGAGCCTTATCTAATTTGAGACAGAGGTGATAGAGAAGGCAGAAGTAAAATTCTATGTCCCAGTCACATGGTGTTTTACTTAACAACCAAAGGAGAAATAAGGTCATATGTCCATTGTAGTCATGTGATTTACCACTTAACAACTGCAATGCTTAGTGACAGAATTGCTTTGTCCCAATCATTGCTGCTCTCTACTATGACAAACCAAGCAGAAGACTTGTTTGCCAGCTTTCCATTTCTGATCTACATATCCCATGTGGAAGACACCATTCGGGAGTATCTGAAAATGGTTCCTCCCTTTCTATCAGAATTCATTTGCTGGGAATTGAGTGGCATAGACATTTAATAAATTATGGCTCATTGCAGAGTCAGCCAGCTGTTTAGCCTGGATTTGGCATTTTTATCCACCTTACAAGACCTTCCCAAAGACCTGGGATAGATAGATGTGGATGTTTGATGATAAAAGTATTGTTGCAGGATGTAAGCTATTATGAGTAAGGCTGCCTTTTGCAATTGACCAATGATAGTGTTGTTGTTATTCTGGAGTATGCCCCATTCATATATGGATCCAGTATTCAGTTCCAATAGCTAGTTGGAGCATGAGACGTGCTTGCAATGGCATCTTGCAGCACGAGGAGGGTATCAGAAAGCTGATGTCCACCCAGAATTAATGAAGAAAGTGGTGTCACACATGCTTTCATGTTATTTAATAAAGCAGAAAAGGGATAACAATCTGCCCTGATGTTTATTTCTTTTTGAATTTCTTGTCTTTCAGACTAAATCAGAGAGTCACAACGTTCTTCCTGAAATTAAACTGGAGCCACATGAAGTGGATCAGTTTTTGAACCTTTCATCCAAGGAAGGTTTGTTATTTAGCGTAGAGTTTTCTCTGTACAATGATTGGCAAGAAAGAACATTATTTTTGATCATGACTGTGTGTGGTTTAGAATTAATATTCAGTAGACACACGGAGAAACTGTGTCTCAAGGAAACTGTTGTTTTATACAAGTGTGTCTACACATGTGTGTATGTGTGGGGGGGGAGGGGGAAACGACCCAATTGAAGCTCTGCCTTTTTTTAAAACTTGTGTCACAACATGACATTGTTAATGACATTGATTGCATAGTTGTGGCTGTGTTGTCTTAACAATTCTGTATCTTCATGATCTTTGCACATGGACATTTGTTTATGAAATCTTGGAGTTGCAGATGAGGATCATGTGGGAATGTTTAACCTCCAGTCCCCCCCCCTTTTCCTCTTCTTTCATCTATGTTTGCATTAAGCCAGAATTTACTACCATGTTTCCCCAAAAATAAGACCCTGTCTTATATTTTTTTGAACCCTGAAATAAGCGCTTGGCCTTATTGCCATACTCTCAAAAGCCCGATTTGGCGTATTATCAGGGGATAAATAAGACATAATTATATCTTATTTTGGGGAAAACAGTATTAATTTGAAGCAGGAATTTTTTCCTTAATATCAGCTAACAAACCAGGATAGTAAGCTAAGATCAGGAAAGGATTATTGACCTCTATGGTGGTCTGCTCTTTTTTGTTAAACTAAGCTTTTCTTAGAAATTAAGAATATTGGTTCTTTAATCTATTGCCTACTAAAAATACAGACACAGAAATCTGGGTTTCACAGTGGTGTTAACATACCTTTTTCAAGTTACAATTTTAATTCAATATATAATTCATTGGAATTGAGTTTTCACAGCATTTCTCTAGTTATGCAATAGTTCTTTGTGATATACTGCCCAGAGTCACTTCTTTGTGAGATGGACAGCTATATAAATTTGAGAAATGAATGAATGAATGAATGAATGAATGAAGAATGAACAAATGAAAAGTTAAAAGACTGTTCATCTCCTGATGATTATGTAAAAAAATGTGCTTTTCTTGCCAATAATACGGAAGTGACTTTTTCTGGAAGATGATAGGTAGACAAATAGACAGATTGACAGACAGATAGGTAGATCATAATGGTATCATTCCAGCCTGGAATGTGAAGAAGCATACCATTTTCCACTATAATGATATAATTGCTTTACTAAAGAGATGCTTATTTTCAAATTTTGAGTTAGAATCTTAGATTTTATGTTTGTTGTTGTTAAACTTTATACATAGTCTTTGGTTCAGATGTAACTAATTTATTCATTCTTCCTTTCATACGCTTATTTCAGAAAGATATTATTTAATTCAGCTATTTTTCTATGATGTCTGCCCTTGGAAATAAAGATTTAAACCTCATGTACAAGCTAAGGGGTGAAAAACTTAGGGTGTGCCAAATGTTTCAGTTTTAAATTTCCAAACATTAGGGGTACTCAAAAGTTGTGACACGCCTTGGGGATTGTAAACATATTTTGGTTACTTCAATATAATTTAGATGTGCTTGGTAAGTATATCACAACTTTTTAACATTTTGTTTGTTTCATATGCATTCATATGAATCAGACACAAATAGTCTGATTGGCATTTATAAACTTCCCTTACTTAGCCCATGCTTTCCTAGTTTGGACATCCAGGAAGTTTATGATTTACAAAACAAAACTATATATTTTTCAAACTCAATCACATGAGTGAGATAAAGTACAGTAGAAGAGAGACTTTGCATTCCTAAAGATTTATCTGTAGCTCAGGATTTTTGAATTGTAGCATCTAATAACTAGGACTACTCTTTTTTCTGATATTTTAAAAGAATCTATTTTATTCTTCCTCCTCTTGTTTTTCTCCTGCAGTGGTGGATACTCTACACATGCCTCCAACACCCCCCAGCAGCCATGGCAGTGATTCTGAGGGTGGACAAAGTCCAACCCGGTCCCTTCCACCATCAAGTCCCACCCATTTGCAGGCCACTGTTAAAGTGACTTCACGCACAGCTTCCGCCCTTACCAATTCACCTCTCTTAACAGCACCACATGTAAGGGACAGTGGTCTCTGCCTTTTTCTTTTAATTAATGCATTTTGTTTAATTGGGTACATTGATTGATATCAAAACATTGGTAATGGAAATTATGATTTGTCCCATTTAGCAAATGCCTCATTTTTTATACTTCAAAATATTGTTATAGGTGAAGAACAGTAATTAAGAGGATCTGGATATTTCTCTGTTGAAGAATGCACTAAAATAAGGCTGCCCTCAGAATGTGTAGTTAGAATGTTCCAGTCATTTAATTCATAGCCATTCCCATTTGTCTACAGACAGTCCTCGCTTAATGACCAGTTTCTTAGCAACCAGTCAGAGTTAGGAGAGGTCCCTCAAAAGGTACTTACAACCTTGTTCCAGAGTTCTGACGATGAACCCTCTCCCCGTGGTTACATGAACGCGTTACAGGTGCTTTTATGGCTGGTTGCAGCATTCTGCGGTCATGTGTTTACCAGGTGGTGCAGAGCAGGGGTGGGTTCTACTTACCTTTACTACCAGTTTGCATAGCGCTCGCGCGTGCGCTCTTCTATGCATGCACAGAAACTTCTGTGCATGTGCAGATCACCTATGATGACATTCGGGTCAGTGGGCAGAGCCTCTCACTGGTTTTACTACCAGTTCTTGCGAAGTGGTCCGAACCAGGGGCAACCCACCACTCGTGCAGTGGTTAGAGTGCAGTACTGCAGGCTACTTCGGCTGACTGCCGGCTGACTGCAATTTGGCAGTTCAAATCTCACTAGTCTCAAGGTTGACTCAGCCTTCCATCCTTCCGAGGTGGGTAAAATGAGGACCCAGATGGTTAGGGGCACTATGCTGACTCTATAAAGCACTTGGAGAGAACTGTAAAGCACTGTAAAGTGGTATATAAGTCTAAGTGCTTATTTCCACAAAAAAAAAAAAAAAACCTCCCAAAGAAATGAAAGGACTTGCTTTACAACCATCATGTTTGCTTTGTGATCTCTGCAAAAAAAAAAAAAAGTTGTAAAATTGGGTTGGTCATGAGGGTGCCTTGACTTACAATGGAAATGCCAAGTTCCATTACAGTCATAAGTCGAGGACTACTTGTATATATATATATATATTAAAAAGTGCAAATGTTGCTTTGCTGACTATCCAATTAATTCTATAGCTCTGCCTCTCTCCATTATGGATATTTATTTTTTTATTAATATACACAAATCCTCCCCCCCCACCAATGTTTCACTACAATATTTAGCTAACAGCCTAAATAATTAACAACATGCCAATTGATTAGGAAGTGCCTTGATGAATTGGAACATTAATTTAAAAGAAAGCATTGTCAATATAAATACCTCTAGAAACTTAGAAAGCAAAATAAGTGTGCTTTATTCCTTCAAGCAAACGTTTTAGTGTGGATTGAAATTCTGGAGTCTATTGTATTAATTGAATCTATTATATTAATTGGGTAGTGGTCCTTTAAACCAGGGGTCTTCAACCTTGAGAACTTTAAGGCATGTGAACTTCAACTCCTAGAGTTGAAGTCCACACATCTTAAAGTTGCCAAGGTTGGGGATCCCTGTTTTAAACCAAGTCTACCGCTTTGGAGAATAGAAGTTCCTGCTTGGCTTGCATATTTAATTCTAATGTTTTTGTTTGGTGTCATGATCATAAATTTAATATTTAAGAGAATGTTACCCATGCTTACCAGTGCATTCTTTTCCCTTTTCCCCTCCTCACCCTATTGTCAAAGAAACTTCAGGGCACAGGTCCCCTAATCTTGACAGAGGAAGAGAAGAGAACTTTGATAGCAGAAGGCTATCCCATCCCTACAAAACTTCCCCTCACCAAAGCAGAAGAGAAAGCATTGAAGAAAATCCGTAGAAAGATCAAGAACAAGGTAAGACAATTTGGTCTCTTATACATCTGTTCCTGCAACATCCCTCCCCCCAGCACTATTTTTTCCATCTTTCGATTTTTCCAGCAAGTAGGAAAGACGATCCTAATGGCCTATCGTCCCCTCTGTGAATTTTCCACTCTTAAAAGCCATCCACGCCTTTGCAGTCTTTCTGTGGGTGTAAACTGTGTCTGTGCTTGCTGTTCTCTGCCTCCAAGTTTGCCTGCAGCTGAATTAAAAATATTTTAACTGCCTTTCTGTCCTAAGATTAACCTCCAAAGGGAACATCGTTTTGCAGGATTTTTGTATTCTGTTACTGAGTAACCATAGTTTTTTTTTTTCCTTTTCTTTCCCTGTTGGTTTGGTTTGGTCTGGTTTTGTGAAGGGTGCTGCTATTTTCTCTTCTAGATTTCTGCCCAAGAAAGCAGACGGAAAAAGAAAGAATACATGGACAGCCTGGAAAAGAGGTGAGCAGTAGATTCCTTTGATCAAACTTCTAAGAAGGTGGACAAAACGGAAACTTAGATCCCAATTGTAAGAGGAGACATTGGTTTGCAGAATGTCTGTGATCAAGAAGAAAACTTAGACTAAATTTTTCAGGAACACAGCATCTCACATATTTCTGTAACTCCTTGATTTTGGTTATTTTTTTAATTATTGTTACTGCGGGAAATAAAGCCCTAATATATAGTTGCCACCAATGTTATTTTTAAATCTCAATAAAAAGTTGTTTCTTGGGGGGGAAAAAAGAATTCCCTTTAGAAAGCAAGCTGTTCAAGGGAAGATGGGCCAAGGGCCTAATTCAATTTAAAGAAATCCAGTTCTTGAGGAGTTGCCTTGCTGTGCTGAAAGGAACCACTATGGCCTCCAAAATTTGGAAGTACATGTGCCTTCTATGCCCCCTAGTGGCTACTAAGAGGGGGGAATTCAAATTTATTGATGACATAAGGAACAGGCTATGCATAATAAATATATAAAGATATTGAAATAATACTAGCATAGCAGCCATGATCTAATATGCCCAGGCTGAGAATAAAAATTGGAGCAGAATGTGCTGGTAAAAGAAGACTCATTTCATTTATTCCTCAATATCGTAAAAGTTTCACCATCCTTCCTAAACTCAGGGTTTGTCTACATCACAAGCTATTCTTGGTTGTAAAATCAAATTCTTATTTAATCCTAATGGCAGTTCAGAAGGTATGTATCATTATTGTTGGTTAACCAAATACAGAACTTTAAACCTTTGATTTGTCATTGATTTCCAAGGGTTGAGACCTGCTCAACTGAGAACAGTGAGCTTCGCAAGAAAGTGGAAGTTCTGGAGAATACAAACAGGTAAAATATGCAATCCAAGTTTTTTTTTTAAACCTTCTTTCTTTCCATAATATATTTTGAACTGAACAAAACTGGAATGGCCAGGAGACCAACCAACTAAATTATTTTTATATAAATGTGTCAATAGATCTGAATTTCCAAAAAGGCCCAGATGACATCCCAAGAATGGGATATGAAATCAGTCCCATTAGTTGTTATAGCATCCTTTAGAACAGTGTTTCTCAACCTTGGAAGCTTGAAGATGGGTGGACTTCAACTCAGAACTCTGGGAGTTGAAGTCCACCCATCTTCAAGCTACAAAGGTTGAGAAACACTGCTTTAGAACCAGGATCTAAAATTCCCGCATTGTACAACTATTATTATGTGAGCCAAATTACAGGTAGTCCTTAATTTATGGTCACAATTGAGCGTTAAATTTCCACTGCTAAGCAAGACAGCTGTCAAGTGACTTGTGTACCACATTCTTTTTTTTTTTTTTTTTGCCCACTGTTGTTAAGCAAATCATTGCAGATGTTAAGTGAATGATGCAATTGTTAAGGGAGTCTGGCTTCCCCCATTGACTTCGCTTTTCGGAAGCCAGGTGGGAAAGTTACAAATGTGGATCCTGGGACACTGTAACTATCATAATTACCTAGTGGAGGTAGTCCTCCACTTACAACAGTTCATTTAGTTCAAAGTTACAACAGCACTGAAAAAAGTGACTCATGCCCGTTTTTCACACTTCTGACCTTTGTAGCAGCTCCCTGATCATGTGATCAAAATTCAGATGCTTGGCAACTGACTCATAGCTATGACCGTTACTATTGCCCAGAAGTCATGCGATTCCCCTTTTGCGACCTTCTGACAAGCAAAGTCAATGGGGAAGCCAGATTCACTTAACAACCGTGTTCCCAACTTATCAACTCCAGTGATTCACTGAACAATTGTGGCAAGAAAGGTTGTAAAATGGGGCAAAACTCACTTAACAAATGTCTCACTTAACAATAGAAACATTGAGCTCAGTTGTGGTCATAAGTCAGGGACTACCTGTACATGCCAGTTGCCAAGAGCCCAAATTTTGATCCCGTGACTGTGGAGATGTTGCAGCAGTTGTAAGTTGTGAAAACTGATCATAAGTGACTTTACCAGTGTCATTATAATTTAGAATGATCATTAAAGGAATGGTTGTAAGTTGAGGGCTACCTGGATGAACTGGAAGAAGCAGAGAGTCAGTAGTTTTATTGATGTGGCTGGGATTTGTAGTTCTGTGAGATACTGAGAAGGGTCCCCCAGAATTTCTACTCCTTTGATAGTAGAATGTTCTCTGTGGAGCTTGGAAATGATCTGTTGATGCGCATGTGATTCGTGTAGATGATTTCAGTAAACTGCTTTGGATACTGTATGAAAGACCGAGAGTGTGACATAGAAACACTGCAGTAAATAAATCTTGCAAGCAACGGAAAATTGGGCAAAGCTGTCTGCGCCTACTACTTCTCACAGCGTGGGCTGTCAGTGCAGTCTCAGATAGTCAGGCATCAGCAACAAGAAAGGAACTTATCATTTTTTGACACACGAAGTGGCAAGTTTGAGTAAAATCCTTCAGGAGGCTCACATTCCGTTACTGATCGTATATTTTGTCAGCTTTCTGTGCAATAACTCATTAAGGCAATGAATCTGGCATAGTTTAAACAGTGGTGGCCAGCTCTGGCTATTTAAAAGGTCTAAAGAAAAAAAAGCATTTAAATAAAAGTACGTAATCATTTCTTTCCTAGATGAACCAGACTTTAGTGTCTCCACTTATAAGTTTTGCACTTGGAAGGCAGACCTCTGCGTTACCCTAGCATTTTCAGATTCCTATACCTTTTTCAGCTGCTGTGGATGTGGAAAGAGATTTTGGCAAACTGAAGAGTAGAATGTACTCCTCTTTTGTAAGCTGCTCTTCCCCTTTTGCTATGGGTTTGGCATCTGAGTTTGGAGGGAGAAAGCAATAATTTAAGTAGCACATAAGCAAATATTCTCAAGCTAGGCAAGGATAAATTAATGATTTTGGGTTGAATCTCCTATGGAACGGAGAGACCGTAACTCAGTGCCAGAACACCTGCTCTGGCTGCAGATAGGCTTAAGGATTGGCAGCTTTAACAAAGAACAGAATATGGTAACTGGCCAGATTTCTGCCTGGAAGGCTTCTATCAGGCTAAATAGTTTGATGTAAATTTCCAAATTAGGAAGAGATTTGGTAGCTGGAGAAAAGATTGATATTGATCGGTTAATGCAATTATGTTTTATCTTTGAAGGGGAAAAAGATAAATATGAAAAACCCCACAATACGGAGAATATACAGTAATCATGAAGTATAGAAAATCTCTATTCTGTGCGACTTAAACATATAATATTGTTCCTTGTTAACAACCCTAATCTAGTCTTGCTCAAAATTGTATTTTCCCAGATGTGTTGAATCAGGGCTATCACATCAGGATTGGCAAAAATCTGGATGAGCCTTTAGATCTGATGAGCCCTGGGCTTCAGCTCTCATAAAGCCACAGTTCATAGGATTAACTGAAGTTTAATAGACGTGTTGCATGTCAGAGATACAGTGTTGGAAAAGGCTCCCCTAGAACTTCGTTTTGTGTAAAAGCTGGATCAAACTGCATCTATTGAGCAGCCCCCAAGAAAAGAAAAATAATATTCTCTTTCCTCTTGTAGGGTCTATTATGTGGGTGTATTCTTCCTGATAGGTCTCGAAATATTAAACATCTCAAAATATCTAATACATCTGAGAAACCATAAGGGCAGAAAAATTGGAAGGATGTGTGAAAACCGATTCTTCACACTGTGTAGACTTAAACTGTAGAATTTGCTAACACAAGCTGTACTGATGGTTCTCAACTAGGGTAGAATTAGGGATTAGACAGTTTCATGGAAGATAAGGTTGCTAGTAGTCAGGGTGTCTCTGTGATGAGGGGTTCCTTGGTGCTCTCTGAGCTTGGTCGTTTTCTTGCAGACATTTCTGCAAGAAGCTCAAGAGAACACCAAGGACCCCTCATTTCAACCCCGAGATACAAATATTCTCCTTTGTTGTCTATTGTCTATGTTTCATCTATTGTCCTTGCACATTTCACAGGGACGTTTGATTGTCCACTGTGGGAAAAGGAGAATGGGCTAAATGGGCTTGTAATCTGATCCATCAGGGTGTTTATGTTCTTAACTGACCTATTCACTGATTCCTGCTCCTGTGTCTTTCAGAACACTCCTGCAGCAATTACAGAGGCTCCAAACCATGGTAGCTGGCAAAGTGTCACGGTCCTGTAAAGCTGCTAGTACACAAACAGGGACATGTCTCATGGTAAGCCGCTTTTCATCCCTGATGGTCCCTTAGAACTTTCACTTATCGTTCCCTGGTATTTCTATGCAGCTTACGCTGTTACAGTACGAGGAATAAGTGTCTAGGTACCCACATTTTGCTCTTCATGTAGCAGTGCTTTCTTTCTTTTATATTCAGCTTTCTGCATCCAGGAGAGTAGAGAATATACTTTCTCTTGCATTTTTTCCCCCTTCGATCAACGACCTTGGCCTGAATAAAAGTGACTTGTCCCAGGTTACTCTGTAAGCTTCTGTGACTGAGGGTTCAAATCTGCTTTTGAAACAATATACCAGACTGGCTTTGATTACAAACCAAATAAGATGTGACCCCCAACCAGGCGTGAAATGCTCCCGGTTCGGACCGGATTGCCTGATCCGGTAGCGATGGAGGCGGGTGGTTCGGAGAACTGGTAGCAAAAATCCCTGCCCGCCCACCCCCCCATTGCCCAGCTGAGCCGCGCAATCATCAGAGGCTTTTTTTTAATTTTTAAAAGACTTTTTTCTACAACCTCTTTGGCCAAAAGAGGTTTTTAAAAGGAAAAAAAGCCTCTGCCGATCAGGCAAGTCAGCTGCAATCGTCAGAGGCTTTAAAAGCATTTTTTTACAACCTCTTCAGCCGAAGAGGTTGTAGAAAAATGGTTTTAAAAGTAAAAAAAAAAAAAAAAGTTGGCCACGCCCACTCAGTCATATTACCCCCACCACCACCAAGCCACGCCCAGAAAACCGGTAGTAACAAAATTTTACATTTCACCACTGCCCCCAACCAAATACTATTTATGTTTTTTTACCAAATGAATACCAGGTATGGGAAGGAAAGATCTACATTGAGATCTTGGTAGGGGCAATTGTTTAAATTCTTATTGCTACTACAAGGATTAGGTTTTGATTAGACTGTCTTCCTTTCTTTTGGTTATAACGCTGTAAATGGTGACCTATTGAGTTTGCCCTGATGGTGATGGCCAAGTCTGCAGTGGGTTTTTTAGGACAGCATTAGATTGCAATTGTTTCATGTAGCATTCAGTTTGGTGCATAGAGATAATATTAGACAGAAAGGCTAATGGTGAAATGGAAGTTTGGAGACCATGAGATAGATTGAAATGACACAGTCATTATGATAGCTAGCAGCACAGATACCATATGTTCAAAGATTTCATATGCTCTGAAATCCAGTCTTGATGGGAAGTAATTGTCTACTACATTCATTTTTCTTTCCCTTTTTAGTCCCTTATTTCCACCAAAATAATGATTTCTTATATGCATTTCCCTTTCCCAGAAGTTCTTTTCTTAAAATTAAAATTCTAATTTGAATGTCAGTGTTAGAAAAATTAATTAATAAGAAAAATTAATTAAAAAGAATGTTAACCTGCAAACTTATTTTCCTAATGTTTTGATGTCTTTGGGCAGGGAGGAAGAAGTTCGATTAGTTAGAAGTCCTATTATCCCAGGAAATCTGTACCATCTACTTATAGGCTAGCTTTACTAATTAGATGAACATTGAAATGGGGTTCAGGTTAGTTTTTGTGTTAGTTATGGTTTATCTACCCATTCAAGATCCTTTCTTCTCTGATTATTATTTTTCTTGATGGAGCGTTTGTGCTTCCAGTAGATTCAGTTAAGTTCCTTTATAAACACATTGGAACACACAAGCAGCAGGTGGAACGGTAGGAGTGGTGATATAAAATCAATAAAAATTATGGATACTCTTTAAAAATAATATCTCAACTGAATAGAATGGTTTTAAAGAATTGCCATGCTAAAAAAAGATGTGTTTCTAGTACACATAGTCCTCAACATATGACTACAATTAGGACTGGAATTTCAGTCTCAAAACAATGCAATCATTAAGCAAGTCATTATGTGACCCACTCAATTTCACAACCATTTTCACTATGGTTGTTAAGTAAATCATATGTTTATTAATTGAATCACCTGATTGTTAAGCAAACCTGGCTTCCCTGATTAATTTTGTCTGTGAAAAGCTGGCTGGGAAGGTCAGAAATTGTGATCATGCTTCATCCATTGTAAAATGCAATCCATTTGCTAAGCACCTGGATTGGGATTATGTGGCCATCATAACTTCAAGGACGGCTCATATGTCACTTTTTCTGAGGCTGTTGTAACTTTGAATCAACATTAAAGAAATGGTAATAAGTTGAGGTCTAGCTGTAAAGCTAAACCAGCATTGCATCTGGGTTTCTACAATCAGAGAAATATTTAAACTAAGCAAGAGAAGAGAGTAACGAACTTCTGGAGCATAGTTTTTTGTTGGTTTTGTATTTAACTTGTATTGTATTGGTCAGATATAACTTCTGATTACATGACTTTAATTTTTATTATGTATATGTACATGTTTTAAGTAAAACATGTGCTTTTTCCCCTCTACCAGGCTGTAGTATTATGCTTTGCAATTATTTTGGGCAGCTTTTCTCAGAGTTTTGGGCCTCATTCCTCCATCACAAAAGCTGTGCTGCCAACCCAACATTCTACACCAGAGTCATACACAGCATCAATAGGTAAGTGCAAAATCAGGAGGTTTTGATGTTCTCAGTTTGTTAAGCATCTTTTCTCATCGTAGGTACTCAGAAACTTTTTAACTATAATTCTAGTCCCCCCCCCAATAGTCACAAGCTGGGGGCTTGTGTTGGGACCAGTGACCAACCAGTAACTAATATATTCTAGGACCTGACAATAGGCTCATACCAGGGTGAATGCCAGATAGATTTAATTGAAAATAGAGTTTAACCCTCTGTACTGCAACTTCAGAAAGTTTACAGAAGGAAAAATAAAATATGCCAGTCCTTTCAACTGCTCAGGAACCCCTGAAACTGCAGAGGAGAGATCCACTGACAACACCTTGCTGATACATAGTGGTTTCCTAAGTCTTCAATCTTGCGACTTTTTATACTTTTTCAGAATATGGGAGACATAACACTGGAGATAGTTCGATGATCTTGGAGTGTCTTGATCACAACCCAGATGGTTGGCTAATGGCCAAAGTCATCCTAATTAAGACTTTATTCTTAGCATGTACTGTATAACATATCCTTCCTTCTGCAATTGTTGGACTAGGGAATATATGTTCTCTTTATTGTCATTGGTACAAACTATAATACACATAAGAGGCTCAAAAGCTAAAGTAATTCCATGATAGTAAGATACCATATGTGAGGTGAGTTATCTAAGCATTGGTGTGGGGAAATTTTTTTTCCACATGTAGATAGAGAAAAAATAGACCACTATGCTCCCTTGCTGTCTCTCCTGTAGTAGCCCCACAGAGCCATAACAAACAGCATCTGGGACCTAGTCTGAAAAAGTCTTCTATATTGTGGGACAGGTGCACATGTTTGTATCTGGTTAGATTTTGATGTTGATTGGTAAATCAAGATGCAGGTATGCAAGTGAAGTCTGTTTTATTGGTCTATTGGTACAGGAGAAAGATCTATGGGAAACTGTGTAATCAAAAAATGTACAACTTTGTACAACTTTGTACAACTTTCAAAGTTGTAATGTACAACTTTGAAAGTAGTACAACCATTATGAGCCATGATGGTGCAGTAATTAGAGTGCTGTACAGCAAGCTACTTCTGCTGACTGCTGTCTGCTTGTAATTTAGCAGTTCAAATCTCACCAGGCTGAAGGTTGACTCGGCCTTCCATCCTTCCGAGGTGGGTAAAATGAGGAGCCAGATTGCTGGGGGCAATAGGCTGACTCTGTAAACTGCTTAGAGAGGGCTGTAAAGCACTGTGAAGCGGTATATAAGTCGTGCTATTGCTATTTAAAGTAGGGATGAGAAACCACTAGTGGCCATACCATTTTTTATCAGGAGACAGCCAAGACTGTAATGGAAGGAGAAATGATTTAGATACATTACTGGGATCTCTGGAAAGTGTGTTTGTGTGTAAAGCACTACAACTCTTGGAGACTAAAAGGAGGGGTTTGGGTTTGTGTATGATCTGAAAGCTATAGGTTGTCCATCACCTGTTCAAGAGGTTGATCTTTACCATAATCTACTAGACATATATTGTTGGCTGCAGTTACTCCATCCTTTTATGCATTCACTTCTGCTAATTTTGAGCTTTCCTTACATATGTTGAAAATATAAGGATTAGGTTGCTTTATCAGAAACAAACCCTTATATTTGGGATAGGAGATTCAAAGACTGGGAACGGTCAGTGAGATGGCCCAGTTTGAACATTTTGGAAAGAATTCTAGTTCTCAATTTTGAGGTACCTTACATGCAGGATATAACCTATTTTATTTAATTTAAAATGTTCGCCATTTGGAAAAAGGGGAAGAGTCTTCCTCTGCTTAATTCTAGACAATTGTCCTTCAAATAGATTCAATGGCATTACTGGGAACAAAATCTAGGAGTTGATATTGAAGACATTTGAAAGGTTTCCAATTTTGAAAAATTAAAATAGGAAAAGACAACTTTGTATGAATTAAATAACACATGTAAATATAATAGCAGGAATCAATACTATATTTGAGAAGATTTAGAAGTCAACCCCTGATGATTTCTTTTGTCTGGGATCTCTTGAGAGCAGGGTTACAAAATAACTCTGCTATCAAGTGCCACATAATATTTGGACCTAATATTTGGACTTAGATGGGCCATTTATCTAAGGCAGCTTTTTATATTGAAATCCACCATCTGTAGTCAAAATGTTCTCCTCTGCTAAAGTTGTTGAATGCCGTCAAGCCCAATGAAGTTTCTTGTCTTCATAGGTGTTAGATTTGCTGTTCGTTCACTCCATTTCTTCCTTGTTTTTTTTTTTTCTTCTTCTCTGCAGTGAGATCAAGGAGCCTCTTGACTTACGAGGGGCCTTATCCACTGGAGGAACAGCCCTTGTCCGATCACATCAATGGCTGGGACAGGCACCTGGATGCCTCCAAAGCCCTGTCTTTGGAACCCATGTCCAAGTCACGACCCAGTCAGGTTACAGAGATCACAATAGCCAATGAGACAAGGCTAGAAAAGTCACTGCTGGTGGGGCTGCAGCAGCACAGGTCAGTATTTGGCAAAATTAGAATGGAAGCAAACATAGATGGTTCAACAGCCCATTGTAAGTGTTTGGTTTTGAAGGAAGATACTGGGAAAGAAAAATTATCTACCTTAGTGAGTGGCAGAGAAATCAACCTGCTTTTTTTTTTTTTTACTAGTTCCCATTCAACTTGGTGACAAATAATTTAGTTTCAAAGGAGAAGAAAAATGCAGTGAGATTTTTCAGGGATGCAGTGTGATGTAGGATCTATTTAGCTACAATGTGACTGAGGCCGGGCATAAATGTTATTTATTTGGTTGTATAATTATTTCTCCAGCAAAGTGAAGCCATTGACTCTTCCCATTGGACTTTTCTACCAGCAAAAACATGGAGCTTTATTTAGAAATCAATAAGCTGTATTTCTTCTTATACAGATTTACAAGTACAAATAGAAATACAACATGTCCACCTAACATCTCTGTTTACAAATGTGTGGGGAAATTTTTAAAAGGTCGTTATGCTCCACTCTAGATTGCTCATTTCTTCCAAGAAAAAAAAAACATGGCCAGAGTGATTGGAAAAATAATAGAGCCAGTCAGCATGATGAATGAACAGTACCTGGGAAATATTCCTTGCCAAGAATACTACAAAAAGCCTATGCACTTGGAAAACAACCTCTTGATAACCACTGCTGCAGGAGGCAGTCTGGATTTCCTTTTTCCAGAGTGGCTGTAGCTCAATGCTAGAATAAGGACTGACATACATATATACCTATACACATACATACATACATACATGCACACACACACACAAAACTAATTCATTGTATGTATGTATGTATTATTCAGTTGAATGTATATACATTTGCAGAAGAAGAAAGGTAATTGTGTCAAAAGACAAAAAGTCTGGTTTCTGTATACCATATCTTCTAAATTTTTATACCACAGTAGGCATTACTTTAGCAAAGAAAGCACTTTTGCTAACAGATGGCAATGTTAAAAATGACACTTGCCATCTGCAAGTTTTAGAAGAACTCAGAGTTTAAAAATGCTGCCTGATTCATTGGAAACACCTTTTTTACTTAATTGAAAATTGAAGTTTTGAGCAATTAAAATGAAGACATGAATAATATAATCTAGTGGATGTCTGTCTATTCAGAATCAATTTCCATGGAATTCAGTGGGACTTGCTTCCAGGAAAAAGATGGTAGGATTGCAGTTGAATTGAGTAAATTAAACTATCCAGTGTCGCTTTGCTATCCAGTGAGATGGGCAGTACATAAATTTAATATATACTTAAAAAAAAATTGTTACAATTTTCGATAGAGAACATACTCTGGAAATGACAGGTGTCAAATTCAAACTTTGCCATTTTAAAGCTAAAGATTTGGGAATGGGAAAGTTGAGCTTCATATATACTGTGAAATGAAGCTAAAATGTTGAATTAAATAACAATTTAAAAAATTCCAAGTAGTCATTTTTGTTTTGCTTGGTTTTATTGATACTAGTATTTTATAGTAACCTGAATTCTTCCTCTTCTCGTCTTATAGAATCAGTTCGGAGCTGGATGCAAATGAAACACTAAAGATCGTTGAAATTGACAGAAGAGTCAATGCTACATCATAGGAGAAAGGAACATTTCCCCCCTTACATCTTTATTTTTGTTCCAAACAAAAGATCAGAAGGACTTCTCATTGTCAGTAAATCTCAGTGGCGAGAATGGACGATGTGTTTGATTTCTTTAATATGAGAAAATGGCTTTGGTTGACTCCAAAAATCCTATTTTTTCACCTGTTAGTTTGCCATTTCGCTCCTACATCCAGGATGATGATGTTGATGTGGAAATATTATAAAGGCAGACCTTTTGAATTATTTTCTTGCCCTGATTTTTTTTTAAATAGTAACTGTCATGCCTGATTTCTACCATAATATTCATAGTGGGAAGAACTACGTTGATACTATTTTGATGAGCCACCGATGGTAAGGTGTTGCCTTCAATGAAAATCTCCTCTGGAGCTTCCATAATCATGGCGAAACAGAAGCATAATCAACTTTTTTCCTATCTTCTCTTGAAGAATTGGACTGTAGACATGTTCTCAGTGGACAAGAATGGTTAGTTCTGGCAAAACACTTAGGTTTCGCTAGACTCAGAGGTTTCATAATTCCTTTCCTCCCATGGTGACATCTCTGTAAAAACTGAAAAGGCTTGGAGTCATCTTTCAGTACATTGGCTTAATTTTTCCCAATCTGATGACTTCTTGCTGTGTTGTAACTACAACTCCCCAAATGCCCACGAAGCTTAGTTGTAGAGAATGTATACCAGATTCTCATGTGGATATGAGAATCTGGTTGCTTATATTCCTCTATATCTTATACTCTTCTGTATCTTTCTGTTGTAAATAGTATTTATTAGGGTTTTTTTTCCTTTGATCCAAGCTGGAATGGCAAGTCAAGGTTATAAGTTCTTTCAAATGATCTTAGTGGACTTTGAAAAGCTTCCAAAACATTTTTTAGACTCCAGGCATTAAACCTTTAAAAGTTTAATCTAAATAAGATTTTTTTCCTTCCTAACGTGTTATTTTTGTCCTGTCTGTTGTTCTTGTTTTTAAATAAGCTTTTGGCTGTGAAACCAGCAAAAATTCCAGTCTCAGCAATCTCAATTTCTATAATCTTAAATGATCAGAACTTTTGAGAAGGAATTATTAGTATCAGTATGTTAAAACAGCACCTCCTCTATAAAATACAGTTGCATGGGACCCTTCATTAAACGATTACTTATATGCTTAGAGTTAACAAAATAATTTCTCCAAATCACTTTGTAGTGGGGGATTTTCAAATATCAAACTTGGGTAACAATGTTTATTTTAAGGCACTGTATTATTCATTATGTGATCATTGATTCCAGATGCCTGTAGCTAATAGATTTTGTATAGCTAGTGGGTGGGCTCTAAAATAAGAGAATGTTATTTTAAACTGTCTATTTATGGAAATCAATTATGGGGTTGTGATGCTCTTAATAATTGAGTAGTAGGTAGACAGTGTATTTCTTTTGCTATGTATATGCTCTGATTGTATTCACTGTTTTTTATTATTATGTAAAGTATTTTAACTAGTTAATGTTTCTGTATGGGATGTTGACCAATGCAAATTGGTAGCTTTCCCATTCTATAAGAATCTGACAATTTGCTTCTCCTTTTTCTTCTAATCCTAGAAACATTCAGTTCATGATTTATAAATCTGGGTTGAATGTCAAATTTTAAATGTCTTTCAAGAAATATCTGAGAATAGGAATCCCCCTCCCCCAAACAAACTTTCAATTTTGAGGAGTGGGTGCTATCTATTCACAGTTTGGCTGTCAATAAAATGAATGACTAATATTAATTGCCAGTCGTGGCTGGCTTCTATGAAATTAAGTTCTCAAATGCCAGGCGGCCATTGTGCAGTCCTCCTCCTCCCAGTATAAAAATGTATCTTCAGCATCTTCTCTCTCACTTTGTGACAAAAACAATTCTTCCGTAATTGCTAATTGAAATGAAACTGCTTTTTTTATATTGTTATTTTGAAGGTGTACTTCAACCCGGGTACTCCAGCTGGTCATGTTGATTTGTTAGCCTGTTCCACTCACTCTCAATAGCCTTGTACCTGAGCCTTGTAAATCTGAATCCCACACTTCAGAGCCCAGACTTGTTGGTTCTCATGCAGTAGAACATTTTTTCCCCTCCCATAAAGAATATGAGCTCTTGCAAGACTTTTATCAACCAGCTTTATATATGTTTAAACTGCCTAAGAAGACACAATTTAAAAAAAACCCTGAAAGATAAAAGATGCTGGTTTATATTGAAAACGTGTAACATGTTATTAGGGAACCTTCCCTTATTCATAAACACAGTTGTTGCAAAATAAACATCCTTCTGACATCAATACCCAGTGGACTAATCTGTCCTTTTCATTTTGTTTAGTTTTGCATATTTTAAAATCACAATAACAAGTTGAGGTATTTGAAGACTTTAGAACACTGCTTGGAGTTTTAAGTGGTTGTGGCTCATTTGAAAGGCAGAATTATACTGTGCAGGGCAACATTTCCTCCCCCCGCCCTCCGCCTTTTTTTTTTCCTTCAAAAAAGAATGGGGAAGAACTGTCTTAAGAACAGTATTTATTTATAAATAAATGCACATTAGCTAAATGTAATTTAACTCTTTATGAAGATAATTTTCCGAACCCTTTTTGCTTCGTAATTCTCCAAACAACACCAATCTTGTTACAAATCGTGAGGGTGCATAGAGACGGTTAACGTATGGTAGATAGATATGATAGATGATATATGGAAGTCAATGGCTGTGTGATAATTGATGCTTAAATGTTTGTAGAATGGGCACTGTTTGAGCCTTGACAATAGCAGGAAGTGATAATAAGACAATTATCCTGCCACTGTTAAGAAACGCAAAACTAATTCCTTTGCAATACAATAAATACAAGAAAGTAATACAAATGCATACTAAAATATAAGCTAGAATCAGTTTGATAAAGTGTTTGAGAGACTGGATTAGAAACTGGGAGATTATGAGTTCACCCTTAGGCAGGAAAGCGGGCTGGATGACTTTGGGCCATGTGCTCTCTCTCAACCCACCAGAGAAAATAGGATATCTATGTGCTATATACCTGCCACCTTGAGTTGTGCCAAATAAAGTAGGATAAAATTAATTAAATGAATAAATACACTGAATACCAACTTTGCAATGGATGGGGCATAGTTATAGTTTATAGGCTGGTTGAAATGAAAGTGCAATTTAATTCTCGTTGATTTTCTGTGCAAAAAATTGGATCTTCGGACACATTTTAGCATCTTTTCTCAGGTGCTGAATTCAAAGTTGGGTAAGCATATCCGCCTTGATTTGCTTTTTTCAAGGCTAAATGTTTCATAAAATTTAAATAATTCTTGGTCCCGTCTATTTTGTGAAGTGTGGCTCTAATTATACATCACTTAAAATGTGTCTCTCTTGTGTATGTTGTACTTTAGGTTGAAAATCTGAAAATGTCAATGGGACAGTGTCTTTATTTATTTATAAATAAATTTATTTATAAATGTATAAATAAATTTATTTATAAATGTATAAATACATTTATTTATAAATTTATAAATATATTTATTTATACATTTATTTATACATTTATTTATAAATAAATAAATTTATTTATTTCATTCATAAAGATACTGACATTCAGCTAAATCTTTTCTTATCCTGGAAATATAGATTATGATTTTATACATTGCAATGCATAATCCTATTAAAATCAGCAGAATTAGACTCACATGATGTCTTTCTGCATCCTAGTCAGGGGCTATATACATCAAAGTTCCCTGGAACTTTCATAAATTATTACTGCCTTTTAGAGAACCTTATTATAAGTTAAGTTTTTATTTGTTATTGTAAGTCAGCTTGAAGATTATTGTCAAGCAAAAAAATGTACTATAAGTATTTGTTTAATAATAATTATATCTGTAATTTGTATCATGTAAGCCCAAAACCTGTTAAATTGGACCATCCGTATTGACATTTTTCTGTCTCCAAAAAATCTCGGTTATTTCTGCTATGTGAATATGCAAATATGTTTTACCCATGTTTAAATGGAACTGACTGATTAAAATACTGCAATTATTTAACAAAAAGCATAAGGTAAAAATTTTAAAAAAAAGTCAATACCTTAAAGAACAGTGACATTGATTTAATATGTTCTATACCATTTTTATTACAATATACCATATATATATGTGCACTTCTAAATATGTCCTCACGTATTTCGGAGCGGCAAAGAAATTATGTGTAAAAAAATACTTTTATTAAGCACACAAATCTAAAATGAAACTGCAAACTAAATGCTTTTTGTATGTACCTAAGTGCAACTATGTAATGCTTTATCTATTTTCTTGCAAATAAATATTTTCCTAAAGAAAAAGAGAAGCCTGTTCAGTCATTTTATTTTAAAACTTCTTTACTCAACTTATGGTAAGGAAAAGAAGCAGTTTACATCTACCAACATATGCAAACCCAAAACTTAAATTACACCAAACCCCAGAATTTTATTTCGCTCCTTAGTCATACAGATATATCTGGGTATCTACAAGTAAGCAGAAGTCCACAACTTTATTTCCTGTATCTAGTATTCAAGCTGTATTCTACTTAGTAGCAATTGATTCATCTCTAAGTCTACAAATGGATTCAAAGCCATTTTAAATAGTGACTATCACATCTTCTGGCCGAGTTCCATAAGCTAATTACAGGGCAATTATGTGTTGTGTTTATATATTAATACTCTTTTTTTCCCCCTCCTAAAACCATCTCTATATGGATCCCATTGTCCAGATAAATAGCTTTTGTATTTTCATAATTGAACTCTATGTAGATGATTGTTCCCAATTATTTACGTCTGGGGTTGCCAAAAGTGTTGATTATAGATGTTAATAGGTTCACAGATTCCATTTCTGCAAGGGTTTCAATTTAAAAACAGGAAGCCTGTAATGTTGTAAAGTAAAATACAAGCAGCATCTTTATTTCCGGGAATACTGGTATGCTTTAAATGGGCCCCTAAATATTTGATAGAAATTAGCAAGGTAAAGAAAACTTTCTGAGTTGAATTCTGCAAGGCTTTCCAGCCATTGCATTTGCAGTGGTTGTAGGAGATATTTGTATGTTCTGCATAACAGAGCAATACGTTGCTTCTCTGAAAGTCGATGTGTTCACTAGAAATATAGGGTCAGCTTCATGTGTTCTGCTCTGGGCACATGACTGGGGGCTTAGAATGGAGTAGTTAGTTAACAACAAAGATGATTAGGGGCTAAAACATAAAGAACGGTTGCTGGAATTGGGTATGTCTAAATTAGTGAAAAGAAGGACTAGGGATGACAAGATAGCAGTGTTCTGATATCTCGGGAAGAGGGAGTCAAACTCCCTCTTCCTAAGGGAGAGGTACATGAGGGCAGGAAAAGAGCAATTAATGGAAACTAATCAAGGAGAGAAGCAACCTAGAACTAAGAAGAAATCCCCTGAAAGAACAATTAACCAGTGGAATAACTTGCCTCCAGAAGTTGTGAATTCTCCAATACTGGAAGTTTTAAAGAAGAAATTGGATAACCATTTGTCTGAAATGGTATAGGGTTTCCTGCCTGAGCAGGTGGTTGGACTAGATGACCTCCAAGGTCCCTTCCAACTATTCTATTCTATTCTATTCTATTCTATTCTATTCTATTCTATTCTATTCCATTCCATTCCATTCCATTCCATTCCATTATTATTTCTGAGCCACTGCCCTTCTGCATCTCCCCTAAGAGTGCATTGGACCAATTCTTTATAATATTTTTCTCTGTAGGCCCTGAACTAACCTAGTTCTGCTTCAAATTTTATCTGTCTTTTTCTGTTTTGCCTACCACTCCAAATTTGGTCCCATTCTGTTTGGGTTTTGGACAGACAAAAGACAGAATCCTGAGTGAATATTTTGTCATTTCATGGTTCTTGAAGGTTAAGTTAGCCTATTTGTTTCTGAAATTTGTATATCAAATAAAATTTCTTCAGCGTAGACATTTGATTTTGTAAGAAAACAAAGTTTGGATTGGTAAATAGAAATTAATGCCCAAATAAATGCTGAATTGGGACAATTTATGGCCACAGAGATGCATTGACCTGCAAATATATTCTTATATGAGTAAAACAAAAAAGAGATACTAAACATGGCTCAACTTGCATGCTAGATTAATACTTAGTTTTATAAAAAAAAAAATCAGAGCAAAGCTAGATTGTATTTTCTATCAGATTGATTTATTGAGAAATATCAAAGCCCTTAACTTTGCTAAGATCTTACTATTACTTTTTTTAATCCCATCCACCCACTCATCCACTCTCTTTTTCTTTCTCCTTATTTAAAGTATTTATATCTTGTCCCTGAAGTGTACTGATTTTCTAGGACAACATAACATTACAAATAACAATGGATGGGAACAGTTAAAACAATGGCAACAATTTAAACAGTAAGTGATGGTGAAGTAAAAATAAAGGTGACATTAAATTGCATTTAAAGTTGAAGCGAGCAAGAAAGTTTTTCAACTTCTTTTAGGGGGAACTGTTGGCAATTGAGTAACTCAAAGCATAATCTTCAGATGCATTATTTGGAACTTCTTTCCTACAAAACAACTAGTGTTTTAGCAATAGCAATAGCACTTAGACTTATATACCGCTTTACAGTGCTTTACAGCCCTCTCTAAGCAGTTTACAGAGTCAGCACATTGCCCCCAACAATTTGGGTCCTCATTTTACCCACTTCGGAAGGATGGAAGCTTGAGTCAACCTTGAGCCTGGTGAAATTTGAACTGCCAAATTGCAAACAGCCAGCAGTCAGCAGAAGTAGCCTGCAGTACTGCACTCTAACCACTGCGTCACCGTGGCTGATAAAGACTTTAGGCAAATTCAATTTGGTTTGATCTGTTTGATTCAATTTGGCTGATCAAATGTTGTAGTACTGATGTTTTGTTAATCATAGTTGCGCATGAAGGTTGATTACACTATGCTATAGACAGAAGGTTAGGATAGAGAGTTGTAGTTGTGGTCATCATCGTCATCAAACTAGTAGAACTTATAAATGAAAGATGATAAAAATCACTTACATAAAATAGGTATATTATTATATATTAGATTGGCATATAATGGGTATACAGCACAGGCATAGGTTTTAGGATGCTGCTGTTTTGTGGCCACTAGACATTGATGGACCAAACCCCACTTTACATGGGTCTACAATGTACAGGCATATGAAGAGTAATGGAATCTTGTATATTTGTCTTGCTTGTAAAATTACTCCTCTATCCTAATAAAATAATAGAACAGGCCACTGAGTCAAATCCCTGCTCAGAGCAATAATCCAAATTGAAGCTT